GCTCTGGTGACGTTTTCAACAGTTTGCACCGTTTAAACTATAAAGTACTAAAGCAGAGGCTTCCCTTTGAGGGCTCTTTGAGAATTGAGAATGTGTCTCCTCCCAACAACAGATTCTCTCTGCCTCCTCATTCTATGATATTCTATACTTGTAAATTCACAATAACTAATAACTTTTGTTATTTAATAAATAAATTCAATACATAATCCATTTTAATGTATTAAACACATTAGTACCACATTCATGGCACTTTATGGGCTTGGTTTTGTGTAATTAGGACAAGTACAACTGTCACGCTCATGTAGTCGCTGTGTGAACAGACGGTAACGGTTTTCCCACATAATGGCTATGCAGTGAGAATCTTTTAGCTGTGCTTTCTTAACTGTTACTGTAGAATGATTAGTAAGAAAGCCAGCAGGGTGGCATACAGTATCCATTTTCATAACTTTATTTGTTCATCATCATGATTATTTTACTATTATCTATTATCCGTGGGAAACCCTTAGGCCTCAGCCAGCAGACCAACATTCAGCAATGATTAAATGTCGAAGCTCAAACTAAATATATTTAGACGTTTTTAAATTAAAAGTATTGATAGCCCAGTCTTTATGTGTGATCTGGGGATTTTGGCCTTGGGACTTGCATGTCATACCCTTTCCTCAACAAAAACACAAAATATAAAACACGCTTTTCTGGCTTGGACCAACATCCGGATGTAGTGGAGGATAGGTGGAGGATAGGTGGAGGATAGGTGTCAGTGGAGAATAGGTGTCACACCTCAGTCATGTGACAGGGAAGACAAGTGGGCAGCAATAGAGAGATGGAAGCAGAGAAAGAGAACTAGACTGGGGCACAGTGTGTCAACCAAGCCGAGACAGAAAAGGACAAACAAACAGCGCATCGGCACACGGCGGCACACAGACACACTCCGTCTCACAAATGTTTGGGTACACACACGCCAGTGTGTAAACAATTTCACAAATTAACATATAAAGTGGAAAAGGTCCGCATAGGCACCAACAAACAAACTCCCAAACTAACATTGCGGGCTGACTGCCGACTTCAGTTGACTCCCCAACAGTCTCCATCAACAGTGATGTAACCAACAATCAACAGTGCTCTATTAAGCACATGTGTTTTTACCATCAAGCTATTAGCATAACTACGTATGAATGCAAACAACACACACACACACACACCCACACACACACACACACACAGACCGATTCACCTATCTCAATGTGTCCGGTTCAGTGGGTAGTTATTTCAACACCGTAGTAGAACACACAATCTTTCTCTCACACACACACACATGTAGCAGACATTGTTTCCATACATGTTAATGGTTTCCTCTAGCTTTATGAATATTTACCACGTCTCAAGGGTGTAGCATTGCTACAAGCATGTCACACATGCTTTTATTTTTGCGCTCACCTGTGTGTGTGTGTGTGTGTGTGTGTGTGTGTGTGTGTGTGAGTACATGAGCGCCCTCCACTGCCCCAATGTGAAAGGGGTGTCGCTGGATCCCAGCGTGCTGCCGAGGTGACCTGCACACAGACACACACACACACACACTGCTGCCACACAAACCTACACTATCTCTGCCCTGTCCCTGTCAGTTGCTCTCCCGTTATGCAGACAGAGGAGAAGTCAGAGCAGCAAAACTCAATTAAAGCCTCTAGCACACCGTTTACCGAACGAAGGAGGAGGTCGACACACGAGTCAGCAGGCGGACAAAGAGGTCTTAATTGATCTTTTCCCACCCTCGTCGCTCTTTCTTCACCTTTATTACAACTAAAAAGGATATTACGGCAGGTCCAGAGTGTGGCTGCGCCTTTGTGACACTGATGGAGTCTTATTGTACGCCCTCCATACCCTGGTTTAAAGTCAGGCGCAGTTGAGTGAGTCATTTCAGAAATGCTTTTTACAGAACAAGAAGATTGAAGAGCTTACCTTTTCCCATCTGCAACACAATAACTAATTTCAACTATCTGCCTGGTGGTGCACATGCCAGTTGGATAGACCTCCAATGAGTTTTATCCAATGATTAAAGGCAGCTCCAAGCTCTGTGGCACAGCTACCCATTCATCCAAGCAGCTGAATTTGCCTCCTCCAAACCTCTGAAGGACCATTTCAGAAGCACCTTACCGGGCATCGCTCTCCACCTCTTGGGCCCGTCACTGCCTGTACTCCCATTCAAGTCGAATCAAAGCAAGCTGCACCTTCCTAGGAAGTAGGCCGCATTAAAATGATGATTTTTGTTTTTTTTATGAGGGTAGGAAGGATTGGGAGTTGGGAAAAATAAGTAAAAAATGTCACCAGGGTAATTTGTGAGTACAGACGGCTTTCAGCACACACCACTTAGCAACAAGGGCAAAGTGCAGCCTGACACATTTAACTTCCTGCAAGAGACGGAGACAGGAACAAGTTGATGTGAGATGTGGATTTGCCTGTGAGCAATCCTCAGCACTGTTTAATTTTAGATGATGGGAGGATGTTGAAGAGGGTGTGGGGTAGGCATCTGCTCGCAATGATGGAACCTGTTTTTAAACACTGCGTAGAGAAGAGATGCGGAAAAGTATTATCTAGGAGCAGGGATGATCCAAGGAGGAATGCTATCGTCATTGTTTCATTTCTCTGTGAGGCGGTCACATGGTCAGCCCTTTTCTCATTTCCATCCAACACAATTGTCTCTATGTGTGATCAATGAGAGCTTTTCTGTGGCGATCCAAGTCCCTTATGGGTCCCACCTTCATAGACGCAAGGTCCTTTCACTTGGCTTTTCTCTCCACCCGTGGACGTTGTTTGATCTGAATATGCATTTGGGCCAGAGCAAAGAGACTTACAAAGCAGAATCTCATTACAGCGAGTATTCCTTACGGGAAAATGAATCGCCACTAGAAAGTGAATACAAGATCTGTAATTGAGTGCTGTATTCCTATTAATGGACTGTAGTAGTTGTGAATCGTTGTGTGTGAGCTTTAAGTAGATAGGCTTGCCATTTCTTTTGTACATCAAAGAGCAGACATATTTCCTGGCTTGCATTGTGTTGCTTTACAATTTTAGCTGAATTATGCAGGATCTAGTTCAATTCAATTATGTATGCAACCTGTGACAAGAGTATGTAGCCTTGCATGTAGGACGGTCTTTGGATGTAATGGGACGTTAGTTTAAAGGGAAGAGTGGTGCAGAAAGTCTCGTTCGCCTCCAAATAGTTCTAGACAGCAGGTACGCCGTGCTTGACACAGCACTCAAAGAAACAGAGATCAGCTGGCCATGGATGCCCAACCCGGACATTTAGTCACTGCTCTGTGTGAACCAAAGCAAGCAGAGTTGGTGTCAAAGCGCGCAGCAGCTCAACCCAAAAGATCTGAAGTCCTACTGAGGGAATTTGCACCACCGCTGAGCCGTTCCTGTTAACTTCACTCTGACTGCCCACAGATCTCTCCCCGCTCTTTTCGCTCTGACAAGCTGGATTCTGATTCATCCAGCCTGCTTGTGTCCGTAATTGCTCTCACAAACGGCAACATGCCCGCCAATTCTAACTACCTGCGCGACAGGGCACCGCACATGGGCCCTCCTGCCGTGCTTTCACTCATTCTATGTTCAGTTGGTCTCTCCGTTAAGCACTGAAAACTGTGTCGAGTGAATGAAATCTTACCTCCGGATGGAAAGACGTCCTTTCTCTCTCCTCAGTCACGCTATGACAGACGACATTTGCTGAAAAAAACGGGCATACTGTGTTTTGGTTTTGTGGGCTTGGAATGATGAGAGGAGAATAGCAAGGGATGATGAATAAATGCATAATACATCTGTGCTGTCATTCCTCTCTTCCTGCTCCACCTACCGCTCTTCCTGTGTCAGACCCGGTTGGTCCTGTGAGGCGCTCTGATCTTAGTGGGAATTGTCAGGTATGGTCGACAGCAAAGTGACATGTTGATGCCGGCTCCTCGGTGACACATGAAGCAGCTCTTTTGTTAAATGGGGTTGACAACCCAAATAGGAATTGTTTACATGCGAACTAGTGCCAGTAGGTCTGCAGATGCTGTTACGTGATATTGCAAATAATGAGGGGCTCTTAAAGGAGCATCTGCTCCAAGAAGATACATTGTCAAAAGAACATAGTCCACCTGACTATTCCACTTTTTTATATCCAACTCATTCTCAATCACATTAGAGATCATTTACAATTCATGACATTTTGAATATAAAGATGGGGAAATGTCAGCCTCCTCTAGAGGTAAAAATGCGAACAACCTTTTGATGGTTATATTGTATGATCATCAACAGGACAAAGGAAACAGTCACAGTATCTTCTCCTGGACGTAACAATTGTGAGACTCCATCAGCACCGCATCTTCTCCTCTCTGTCCGCCACTCAAATGGCAAGATGTTCTCACCTTAATTGTAAACGCACTCTTCTGCATGCAAATACCAAACTGCCCACCTCCTTCCCCCACTCCCCCACGGTTTTTCAATTAAGATCCAGACAGAGATAGAGGATCCCAAAGGGAGCGCACTATGGTGGGCCTCTGCTCCAGACATATATGAGGATGGGGGGTTATTGAGTGGCCATGACCCCATAGCACCCTCACCTCACTGGATTATAGCACATCTCAGCCAGGCCTCTTCTACCCAATCGTAACACATCCTCATCCCACCCAGCAGAGGTGTCCCTGATTAAAAAAGTCATTGAGATGAAGGATTGACAGTGACGGTGAATGTGTGTTTATGTGTGTGTGTGTGTGTGTGTGTGTGTGTGTGTGTGTGTGTGTGTGTGAAAGTATTGCATGTTGGTGGTCATTGTGTGATAGTGAAAGGGCTGAAATTTGGGAGGTGTATGCTGTTTTAATAAGTAGATTTGATCTCAGTCTTATTATAATGATAGCCCCTAGAAATAGAACTGCCTCTTGATGTAGACGGTATTAGAATACATATTTAATTGAAGACTCATAATGACCCTGCATCATAATACTTCCTTTCTCCCCTATGAACTCCAGCTCGCTCAGTCCAGACGCCAACCCTGACGGTTCGTTCCAGAGGGAGGGCTTCGCCCGTCAGAGCATGTCTGAAAAACGCACCAAACAATATGAAAATGCCGCTGAGCTGGAGATCATCAAGACGCGCAAGTCCAAGAGCATGGATCTGGGTATGCTTTACACATGCACAAAAATACACATGCGCAGTCGTGATTAAAGGAACTGTCGTTTTTATAATTCTTAATACCTTTTTACCCCAGCTGTATGAAAAGCTTCTCATCTAATTTGAGGCACTGTTTGCCAGCCAACTCTACTAAAATGTAAACCTTTTCTTTTAAAACCCATTTCCACTTTAGTGGAATTGAATATTTGCATAATGTTAATAATAACTCTTACATAAGTAATGGTTAAAATCAATGGGTGAAAAACACAAGCTGTCAGATAAGGAAGCCGACAAAAAATAATTGTACCCAAAAGGTTGGTAGCAATGTCTCAGTATATGGAAAATTGTGAAAGTGTGGCATGTAGGTTATAGGTCCAAACTGTACCAGTAGGTTGGCCTGTTTACAAGAGAGAGCCTGGGTCAAGTGGGACTGGCTAAAACGTGGGTTTGTTTACAGTAAAACTTCTACGGTTGTTGGATCATTCCTTGGTGGACATCCCAAAGTGATAATGGAATAGATCTCCCTTTGACCTGTGAATCCTCAAGCACTCAACTTCTCCCACTTTTTTCCCGGCTGTCTCCTTAAAGGCATAATACTGGGGAAATGGAGACACTTTTCAGAAAACACACACACACACACACACAGTCCTTACAGTCCCATCCATCCACCACCGTCCCTCTTTTGGCCTCCGTCTCCCATGGCCCTGTTCCCAGTGGAGCATGGGTAAAACACAATAAAGAAAAGAACATGGCCTCTTTAGTGAGTGTCTAATGATGCAAAGACAGACACACAGACTGTATAGAAAGAAGAAGACCGTCTGAGTCCAGAGTGTCCAACCGAGACTGAAGCAGACGCTGCCTTCTCTCGCATCACTGACTAATCATAACAGATAAAGGCCAACCCCATTCCTCACGGAGCCCAGAGACCTGTAAAACTCTCGGACTCTTCCACAGGCTGGTGCATGTTGGAGCCACTGCACTCAGCTCCGTGGGGTCCATCTTCCCTCTGGCAACCCTACCCTTTGTCCATCCGCAAAGGCTTTATGCAAAGTGAACCCGTTGAACACGAGTGCTGCTGAGGAGAAAGTGGATAGTAACTATCACTGAGCAATTAGCTGAGCATAAACATATTTTCCATTATGTACTTAGTGTCGAATAAAAATATAATTGGATATAACTGAGCGTAGAACGGACGGGATGCTGAGATCGCTCCACGATGGCAGTGATAATGCTCATCTTATCAGTGAGTTTAATCGAAAAAGCTTTTTAATTGTTCCAAAGTGGCATTGGCATTTCTTTGTGAATTTTATTAGTTCTAGTGAAACAGCGGTTTGTTTATTACAGAAGACACAAGTTAATTTGCACAAAAGACGAGGCCTCACTCTGGGAATAACCAGACTTATCGACGGTTACAAATCTCTATTATTGTTCTACCATGTCTGAGTACTCAAGATCAGTGTGTGTGCTATTAGAGGTTATTCAAATTCACATTCTCTTCCACTTGTGGGACCCAATTGAGTTTTTGCAATATCCTGCTGACAGATTTTTTTGCCAATATAAAATCATAATCCACCAGTGAAAATACCAAAGCGTTCAGATGGTGCAGGTAAACATCTTACGTGCTCCACACATACTGTAAACTGTAATAACTGTAGCTGACATGGGTAACTGGAGGAGAATTGTTTCAGTCGATCCATGGAGTGCGAGCTCTCGTGTGCGTTTAAAATGAGAGCCACACAGCGGGATTCGGCGTATATCTGGTGTCACATGCCTTCGGTTTATCTGAAGGGCGCAAACTGCTACAGTTGATTTTTTTTTAATGAAATTATTACTTCAAAGCCACACAATGGAAATCGGCCTATGGGTATGGTATAACAGGGTTTTAAATTAAGTAAGCTGAAGAATATAGTTCTTTACCCCCAAGCCTTTTCATTGGCGCACCGACATTGATGTTCGCCTTTACAAGTGAGGGGAAATAGCCAGTGTACGCATTCCTTCTTACTTTCTATTAAGACTTCAAAAGCTTCAAAGCTATACAGACTAAACAGTTAACATACTCAGCAAAACTATCCCCTACCAACTCTCATTTGGTTCATTGTTGAAATGGACTAAACTGGTCAGACACCCTGCGGTTTAATACCATTTAAATCCGGAGAGACTTGTAGAAATTTGAACAATGCTTTATTTATAAACATAAAATAAGGCATAAATATTTATATTGGGGCTTGGACTCCATGCTGCCGTAGGATAGACCGGGATGCCGAGCCGAGATGAGGCATATCCCCCCAGTGGTGGTGGTATAGAATAAGTTGCTCCAATCTCTTGATATGCCAGGTTCTGCTCAGGTGGTGGCAGGTCGCCACGTGCTGAAATGACAACAGACAGCAGAAGAGAGGAGAACTGTTTTTGATACAATTGGTTCACGGTAACAGCACCCACGTCTGGTTGGCTGGTACTACCCGCCCCCGCCCCTAATGAGCTGGCCGTGTGCCACCAGGGAACCGCACAGCTTGTCTAGTCTTCCTGACTGAATTCTTTACAGGTCATTTAGCTGACGCTTTTATCCAAAGCGACTTACATTACATTTTTAACCCATGGCTTTTTACATTTTGCCCGGGGAGCAATCGGGGGTTAGGTGTCAGAGACACTTTGACTTCGGGACTCAACCACCAACCTTGCGGTTCCCAGCGCACCCTCTATACCCCTGCGCCACGACGACCCCTTTTTCGCTTCATTTAGATGAGGGGAAAAAAGGGTAAGAGTAAGAGACTCAAGGTAAGACAAATCACAGTGATACAGTAACACATGCCAGACATTTTTTCCTGTTAAACCTCATGATGGACAGGCCATGCACAGTCTAATTTCCTGCTCTACTGGCATTGTTATTCTGAAATTATTCACTATCTACCCTGCAGTATCTGTTTGGCATGTGCTCAGAAGTCCGAAGGCACTAACCACCATTGCTTATTTACGCACCTTAACATCAGCAGATGGGATTAACTGCAGTACGAGAACCAACCAGCTCAATACTTACAATCACCAATATAACATTGGACCTCACAACGGTTCACCAGGCTTTGGGTCAATAATTGAGATTGGAAACGCGGGGCCCGTACTTTTCCATAATCAGCTCATAACCAACCATCATTAGCCATGTGATCCTGGCACCTTTGTATGCATATGGAGGAGAGAGTTGTTTGAGGTAATTGCAACATGATCTAAAAAGGATTTTCATATCGCTGAAAGGCGAGTTGCACGGTGTTGAATAGCAACTTGGCAACTAATGTGGGAACCTGTGCCATTGAACTCATTCTGCAGAGCAAATGATTTAAGAAAACACTAGTAATGCAGGAGTTGTGTCTGGCTGAAAGGAGCCAGGCAATGGAGTGGCATTTGCAATGGAGACATTCACTGCCAATTGGCCTCTTCAGCTTGCCTGCAATTGATCCATCATCATCAGGCTAAGCTCCGGTTGTAGCGCGTTGGAGTACATCCGCTCCGTGAATCAGCGAGAGGATGTTTTTAAGTGATTTCTGTGAGAACTTATTGGAAACTGATGTGCCTTTTTCTCGTTGTGTCCAAAGATATTCCAAACAATATATGATATGTAGTATTCTCTACCATGAAATGTACACAATGATAGATTTACAGTATACGGAAATATTACACCATTTTCTTTTGTAATGGTGTAATGGTAAAAGACAGACCGGCAGTTGGAGCTCGTTCAAGCCTACAGTGGCTGATCCATTGGGTTGCCAGGCTCCGGACAGCTTCTGCATTTCAATAATTGAGTTCACTTGGAGAGCTATAAACAGGTTTACATATAGCTCTCTATTGCTTTGATAAAACAGCACAATCACAGGACAGTATGCAGCATCCTTGATTGAGATGTTAGCGAGTCAGGGTAATGGGGATTCCTGTGTGACAGCGTACAGAGGACGTCCTCTGACTCAGACTAATGATCCACAACCGGCAGAGAAATAGGAGCCGGTTCGACTCAGGGATGCCACACTTCCACTAGGATACCTGGACATGGCCTTTCCCCCAACCACCTTGGAGGCTATTTTAAACATAATTACCCTTTTACCACCCTGCTTAAAGCCATGGCTCTCTGAATAAATTATATGTAATGGAGCCCCTGTCTGTACACAGATCTTTACATGCAAGAGCCTGTGCTGAATAATGGCGGGGGAGCATAGTTTTAGCTGCGCTAATTATACTATGGGCTCGTGTTCCTGTAATAACCGCTGCTGATTTATTCATGGAGTTTGCCATACCTCCCCTTTAACGTGTAATGGCAATGGATCTTCTCCAATTAACTGTCCTTGCCCTTAATCTGGCTAAGGAACACACTCAGCTGGCCTTGTCACAATTCCAGGTGCACTCTCCCCGTATTTGCTTTGATTGTCTTTTCTTTTTTGTGTATTTCATTTTGATGATTTTCATTTGTCCTCCGGACGTGTGGGGAGTGATAAACTTGTGTCTGCACGCGATGGGGGACTATGTATTTTCATCCCTCTGAATGAGAGTGAGATGAGGAGCAGCGCACCGAGCCTCCTCTTGTGTGATATGAATCATATAATAGACTGGCATACAGAGAGCTGTCAGTCAAACTCTCCCAGGAGAGTCGCGACTGCATCTGGTGAAAACAAAGGCAGGTTTGCAGGTAGCCGCCGTCTCTGGGCAAACTCCCTCTTTTCGCCTTGCTCGCCCGTTCTCTTTGTCTCTCCGCTCCTCAGTTGTGCGCCACGACAACTAGAAACAATGGCGGCGGGTGCCGTTGTGCGGAAGAAGTGGGAGGATTGTTCCCTGTTCCCGATTACAGCAGATGTAATTTGTGTTCCCTTGAACTGTTGCATCTTGTGCCGCTCTAACTTGCAATCCCATTGTGTCGAACATGCATCATGGCTTCTGCGTGACCACTGTTAGCAGGCTTTACACATAAGCTTCTGAAAAACTGAAATTTACATGGCTCATGGCTCTTGTACTGGATTGATAGGATTTTATCCACTAATTATGAAGAATGACTACATGTTCCTGCTACCCTGCATCTGCCCATGTATTTCCTCATATTGTCTTTCCTCTTTATGCTGTCCCTTCTGATGAGATTACTCCTTCTGGACAAATGAATTACAGGATTTTTACTTGTATTCGCTTAGTCTTGCAATTCTAGTATTCATGTTTTGGCATTACAATTTGTTATGGTAATCACAAATGTCCATCTCTTCGAAGGAGCGAAGCAGTAAAATTATTCTCTGGTCGTGCAACCAGAGAGCCTCTAGATATTTGTAGCTGATAGTAAAGTTTAATTTTTCTGTCTAACGCAGCCTAAAGGCTCATCCCACTAAATGGGATGCAGCATTAAAGGATTGGTGTTCATTTATTTCGAATGGCACCAGGATGGAGTTCAGTTTCTCTTGGGATATTATTGTGATTGTATTGACAAGGTCAAAAAGGAGGGGAGAGATTTTGCGTTTAGGACGGACTGTGTGTTTACCAGTTTGGAAACCCAACACCACAGGCTAACGACTGACCTTCTAGCCTTTTATCAGATCTAACACCAGGTCTATGGCCATCATGGATAATAGAAGACAGAAACGCTCCAGAAAGAAACGCTCTATCTTTCAGTAAAGGTACACTGCTTGCGAATGTAACAGAAATAGGTTTACCCTTTTGACCCTGAACATCCTGGAAGTGGCATTAAACATTTTCTGCCTCCTTAAAAGGACAACGGGATTGAAATGAGAAATCCATTTCTGTTCGGGCCTCTGCAACGAGCAGCCAAGGTGCTAAGGTTTGTGACATGTAAGCTTCTGCAGGTTTTTCTTGGTTAAGGAATCAGTTAACCCTCTTCCTTCTTAAGCCCCTAACTCACTCAAACCCAGTTTTTGCTACCTTTGTGTATCCACGCAGCCATATGTTTTTCCTCATCCTGGCTCCGTTTCTTACACCCTAAACAAATCTATTTCAGAGAGGAGTACTCCAAACAACAGTCACAAAGTGTTTTCCTTCAACGATGGAGGTTTGTTTTCTTTGCCTAATCCATGTTTGGGTTTGCCGCCTTCCATCCAACGGATCACTGTGACGGCCCGGCAGCGGTGGGTCACGCCTCATTTAGGCCACTTTAAACACGTGGATCATTTTGTTGACGGTAACTTATAGTAAAGTGTGTGAATGTCAGGAGTCTGTGTCAATGTGACTTATGCGGAGTGCCACACACGTGCAAACATATACACCTACATGTGTTCTGTTCCGTGAGGGGCAAAGACAAGGCGCAAGAGCAAAATGAGCAATGAAAAGCCAACAGGAAGAGCTGCCTGAGCTGTTTATTTACACCACACTGCTGTTTCCACAGGAAAACAGCAGCACACACTCTCTGCCTGTGGAGGGTCTATTTGTTCCACAGGGAGTCGTAAACTTACAATGTGGCTCTGTCCAGACTCCAATGACATGTGCTGCGCCCTCAGAGAGTCAGCGAGGCCGCCGCAGTAATTGAATCAACAGTTTATCCATTATTACTGATAGTTTCCTCTGCTGACGTTTGCGCCCAACAAGGCCTGACCTGCAAACACTCAGGAATCCATCTCGTTACGTTTGACAGTGGCTCGCTGCGCTCTGAGGCGAGGCACAATAAACGGGACAAAAAATCAACCAGGTTGCTTGTTTACCAAGCGGCCAGTAAGGTAAGAGCTCCGGGGAACCAAGCAACGCTCCTTGACAAAATGAAATACCAATACCTGTGCCCGCTCCACTTACATACCCTAAACAAACCCCTAGTCAGAATTGGAAATGCAATTACGAGCAGTCCAGGGCCTGGCAACAGTATCGCCTTTGCCCTGCACGCAGCTGGTCTTCTAACTGGTCCGTTGGCTCCACGTCTGTCCTTTTGAAGGGATACTTAGTCTTACAAGTATGATATATGTGACCTACTCCAAAAAGCTTCTTTGCAACATATTTCAAGCCATAGAAACCCCTAATTTGTTCGTTGATCACAATTTACACGTTGCACTCTTAAGTGAACTAAACAGTGTGTTGCATGCCATAAAGACGTTGCACGTTCATGTTCCTGCTAAAGTGAGTATTGTTTGAGTGATGGCAATGTCTTAGAAAGGTTCGTTGTGTTTCTAGCTTTGTTCTGCAAGCGGCCTGTGTTGACTGATATTCTGGTGGTTTTCCCCACTAGGCCAATCAACATAAGGCCGATAGCTGAGCCTTGCACTGCCCTCAAGATGGGCTAAAACCTGCTATCTTACATCTACACGCACGTAGACCTCAGAAACAGAGCAAAAGATTGCAGCTTTAAGATTGTTTTTGCTAAGATGGGCTCTTAGAGAACATGTTGGAAATGAATTGACTTAGATGTGTTTACTCTGAATGCCATCTGTTTCTGTCTGGAGCAGCTGCGAGTAAAAGAAAAATCAGTGAGAAGAGCACTTTTGGAAATAGTTTGAGGTTTACACTCTCTAAACATTCGTGAACTTGTAATGGTTTGGTATAACACTATCAATCCATTGCTGCGGTACATTGCTGTCTATGATATTGCTCCATTCATATGCATCATGTTTCAGCCACGTAATTTAACCGTGCAGACAGGAGGACAAAGCTTGAGTTATCATTCTCAAGGGGAAAGTGTCTCGGTGAAGATATGATACTCTGTTCTCATTCCACACACTTCATTGGCCAAGCAATGGCATCCTTTGTCTTTGATGTTAATTGCCAGTCTCACACCTTGTCTGCCACATAACTTCATCCCAAATTAATCCAGCAACACGTGAATTAGTCACTGACGTGCGGTGAGGTCAGAGACGGCTTTAGCGCGCCTTTTGGGGGAGTTAGAGTGGCGTGCTGTTGTTCTGCCGGCCTTACTGACGGCACTTCCTCTTCCCACAGGTGTCGCGGAACAAGTCCTCGGACCCTCGCTGGGCCTGAAAAAGTCCAGCTCCCTTGAAAGCCTCCAGACGGCCATTGCCGAGGTGACGCTGAACAGCGAGATCAACGTGAAGAGGGCGCGCTCGCGGATCGCCAGGGGCCGCGGCTGCAATGAGAGCTTCAGGGCTGCAATCGACAAATCATACGAGAAACCTGTCGCCAGAGCGCCACAAGACGACAACAGCACTGAGATATGTGAGTGTTTGCACATAAGATGCTCATGCAGAGGGTTCTCTTTTTATATCATGCACACTAGTAGAAGATCCTTACAAAGAAATAAAACCACTGGAATTTAAGCCAACTCAATAAAGCCTGGGAGCCCCTTTTAGAACGTAGGACCCCCCCCCCCTCTTTGTGAACTAGGTCAGGGATCTCTTTTGCTGGAGATGGATCTGTGTGGTTGTTTGTCATAATGCACAGCTGCAATAAGCGTCTAGGTTACACACTCATTAATATTCACATATTTCATGTGGAGGGGAATTGTCAGTGTCTGTGGCAGCATGTCTTCCCCGGAGCATACATTCAATGCAAGTGCATTGCCATGTTGTTAGAACTAGAGGAAAATTCTGCTGTTTACCCCACATAAGTATGGCTGGTATTGTATCTATTTTACATGTAATATCTCAAAGCCACGCAATCACATTCACAAAGATTATAAAGGAAATACATGTCTTTGTTTCAGTCGTGCCAGCTGTTTTTGGCACATAACGCTGTACAACTTCCAGGTCACAATAGTTCTCCTGCATACCTGACCGGGATTGAAACCAGAATTACTATTATTTATTCTAAACTTAAAAGACAATATTAGAAAGGAGAGACATGCCACTTTCCGTTTGTGTGAACATATCCATCCCTGCTTAGCGTCTGATGACAAAGAGTCTAGAGACAGCCGTCTTACGTTTGGTGACAGGTAATAACACCGCAACACCACAAGAGTAATCACCAGATATAAATTTCCATTCACCATTAAAGGATCCTATTAAAAGAGCCGGGGGCATTTGAAAAAGAGGGAATTATTTGCCTGAAACGCTTTGTTCTCATAAGCTCTGTCGGCAAGCCACTAAATACAGTCTTATCTTGGCAAGAAAAATGGGGAAAGCAAGCGATTTCCCCTGCCGTGGTATATTGCATTCTCCCCCATGATATTCAAATAACTCTGTTTTTCAATTTAGATAAAAGCAGCCAGTGCATGCTCGTCACTGAGGTTAATAGTCAAAGTTGACAGATAAGGCGCAGCCTTCCTCTCCCAGACTTTTATTTACATAAAATAAGAATGTGGCATCACCCAAAGAAAATGTGTCCTCACAAGATATCCCTTTGCGGAAAAAAAATGCACTTTCCCTTGTGCTACTTTGTGTTGCATCGTTTGAGGAAAGGAAAAAATAAGACATGCTCTGCTGAGCAAAAAGGCCTTCTTTTAAGACTGGCAATTTGACTGTCTGTCATAACCTTTGCTGACAGGCCAGATAAATGTCCTTGATGTTTAAAGCAGGGTTTAATGGTAGAGTTCGCCAAAGTGAGAAAATGTTTCCTGTGGCTGTCTGTCTCTGCAAATGGTCTTTCAGTCGGCTGATGTTTTCATCAATTGTTCTGCTTTCTTGTTGTTAGTCAAGTCTTTTCATTTTCCATTGATGTCCATTCAAGTCTTCAAGTCTGACTTTCCATTGAAGTCTTTTGTATGTTTTGTGATGGGACATTTGTTTCTTATCTTGCTTTATTTGAAAGGCTTAAAGGTAAATGTAACCAGACAAAATTTCCAGATCAAAAATTTGATCGGCCTCGCCCGCTATTGCTTGACCTCCATCTGACCCCTTGCCACATATACATGTAAAGAACCTGGCACCAGAGTGCATCCTCTCTTTCTGAGAAGGGAAGTCAATGTGGAAGAGCCTTAAACTTAAAGTAATTCTGCTGACCAGCAGGGGGCGATTCCTCGGATTGCAAAAAGAAGTCAGATTGAGTAGAGGTCTACGAGAAAATGATTGTCAGCAGGGGATGCTTGAAGTTGCAGTGACATTGCGATTGACAGGTCACTACTACGCTGTTGTCAGGTCCTGGAGTTCTTTATATTTTAGAACTTAAAAGAGCAAGAGGGTGGAACTAACCTTTTGTTCCACTCTCTTGTGTCACTTCTGGGCACAAGAGGGTGAAAACAAATCGACGCCTTTCAAAAAGCAAGGCGTGAAGGTTCAAAGTAGCAATCCACAAGCCGATGGGTGACGTTGCGGCCTTTTATGGTGTCCGCACACACACAAACAGACACGCGCATTAACGCGTCCACACACATGAGCACACATGGTCGCTGGCCCCTGGGACGTTCAGGATTACAATGTTCAGCATGTTATCTGCAGCTTGGTATCATTAAGCAGTAGCAGCATTAGCTTTCCAGCTAATCTCCGTCATTCAAATAGCAAGATATAGCTCACAGCTCCAGCTGCTCTTAAGTGAATGATAAGCAGGCAGCAGATTGAGGGATAACACTGATACACTGAACCTGCTCCCAAATTATCGGGGGTGGAGAAAAGAAAGGGAGGGAAGACAATGCATTGTATAATTGAGCAGGTTTAAGCTGGCGGTTAGCTTTATCTCCCTGTTGTGCAGTGCCTCACATGGCTGATAACTCCACAGATCACAGGAGGAAACAAACCCAACCTTCCCTTGAAATGTGAATCCAGCGGCTCCACCTGTATTCAAGTACCTTAAATTCACCATGGCCCCTCCCTCCCTATCAGTTCTCTTCCATCAAAGGCAAAATTTAGACAACGACAAGCGAGACTGTAATAAGTTGTAATCAGAAGGACATCTCACGCCTCCGAGCCAGAGATACTGCACAGACAGGAGCTATGCCGAGTGCAATGTTCACCATATTAGCAATTAAGATCCCTGGGAGCCTTTTTTCAAGATTATTTAAATGTATAATTACTGACAGAATAATTACATTCTGCACATCATTTATGATTAGATGTGATGGAAACTTTGGGTTTAATCAACCTTGCATCACCTAAGGAGTTTGGTTTAAATTTGATGTCTGGATTGAAATTAGTCGGGACGTGAATTAAGAACCAGATTCACACGACAAGCGTCACAGTTTCCATCATCCTTTCATAAAATGTGAAAGAAAAAAGGGGAAAAAGACAGTTCTCTTGTTTGAGTTATGTGAAATACAAACATGTGAAATAACTAGAGGTTTTCAGCTGGATTTAAAAATGTTCAACAGAAACCTCAAAGGGTGAACTATAAATATATTCTGCTATAATGAAGCAAGTGTGTTTTCTTCAAAGCTGCAATGTCTTATGGGACACGGTTTTTCTTTTAACGGTTCATCTGATAGAAAAACTGATACTTTGTAACTGATTAAAAAAACGTAAAATAAAACTTGCTGTTGTGCTGAGATCAAATGCAGCTGGTGTAATCCGAAAGGAGTCAAGTGGAAGTTAAAGCCTAAACTTCCATTTTATTTCTCTTTGATCGTGTATCCCTAAAGCCTAGTTTATGCTTCTGCGTTTTCAGAGAGACGCAAGGACGCGCAGACGCAAGAGCACCTTGCGTGTCCCTTGCGTGCCTTTTCACACCTCCTTGCGTGCGTCGACCCATTTTTCTAGACTAGCAAGCCTCCTGCAGCCCACAAGGCTGTGATTGTTCTGCTACATCCTTTACTCGTCTCACATTTCCGGTTTCATAGCACAATACCGACATTATTAAAACAGATTTTTTGTGAGATAATTAATAAAATGGGCAATAAAGTCTATGATAAATAAATAAACAAACCAACGACTTCCACACACAAAGACGTGACTCTCTAGGTCGTCTTCGACAAAAAAACGTTACTCCACCTGGCGGTGAATTGCTCTGCAACACGCGCAAGCCATTTAGAACCACGAAACGAGTGCGTCGACACGACTGTGCATAAAGACGCAGAAGCATGCTCCAGCCTTTACTCTCCCTCTCAATATATCTGTACTAAACACCCTCTCCTCTCCCTTATCTCCTCACCCCAGTGGACGAGGAAACCGAGGAAAGCTCCAGATCAGGTCGTGAATCGATGTCCGCCAGCGGCGAGCTGACAGCGGTACCCGGGTTAAATGGCAACCCCTCCAAAGACGACAGGCACAGAGACTGGGACAAAGTCGGGGGGAAAGAGAAGAAGAAAACCGAGAGGAACAAAGAGAGGGAGATGGACAAGAGCAAAGCCAAGAAAGGCGTGCTGAAGGGCCTGGGAGAGATGTTCAGGTAGGAAGAAGGCTCAAAGAACAAAACCCTCCCTACCCCGCGTCGCCCCAAGCAACAAAACGCTATCTGCTTTATTTAATTCCACTCAGCGCTGGATCACTCCTAATTTGAATGCATTCTCTGGATGTTGCAAGTGCTAATCAGGGAACCCCTCTCCTTGAACCCAGTGAGGTTGAGGGAGGGGGATGGAAGCGAGGGAGCCTCATCGACCTCCGGGCCCTCTGGCACATTTGAGCCAGATTATTTTTAATAAGAGCCACATGTTTTATTCATTATCCATGCACGCTTCTCCTATCTGAACACATTGGGCATTTTGTTAACTATTTGACAATGGTGAGGGCCCGTGTGGCTGCTAATGTGGGAGGGTTTGGTCTGGGCGGGGAGGCTGTTAAAGACGACTGCTGGCTGGAGTTATTTCCGCTGGCTGGTATCCTTTAGGTTTTAGAAGGAGACCATGAGAGGTGATTTGATTCTGCTTTCAACCGTGGTCAGATATTCATTAATTAAAAAAGAAAAGATTCAATATCAATGGTTGCCAGCTGAAGGCCTTCAACATGACGTTTACTCTCGTAGACCAGGAAGTTTGAACCGGACACTTTGAAGACTGAAAGACGATGAAACAACTTCATCAGCATTGTGACATTGTACCATCCGTGGACAATAGTATGAGACTAGTATGTGCCAAGAGTCCGCAAATGAGAAAAAACATCCCGGGGGTATCCATCCAGTGTTTCCACTAACAGGAAATCACTGGGGGAGTCAAATTAATCATTTCAATTGCGTGCACATTTGGATATGGCATAAATTAACATTGCGGGCTGTTATCGCGCCGTGAGCTGTTTTCTTGTGGATTAGTTTAATGGAATTAGTTAACGTGTCGCGGCGAGCGGCTTGGTAATGAACAAACTAAGGTCACGACTGAGGAGTGCAGGGAACTCATCTTTTCTTCTTTTATTTTTCACTCTTGCAAGTTTTCTTTGTATCCCGTGGTGTGAACATGCTAACAGGAGTGCATACAGAGAAAGCTGTGTGCTGGCTTGCTGAATTAAAGTGGAGATGTGAGCCACAGGTTGGACACTCTGTGACGTGCAGTCAGTGACGTCGCACACCCCTTTTTGAGCGTGTGGGGCCCTCTGCGTGCCCTCCCCGGCCTCATCATTGTTCTTCATTATCTTTGAGTGCCACAGCCACTCAACTGTTGGCACATGGCAGCCTCCCTGACACTTCCCCCTCCCGCTCCCACCCTGCTCCATGCATTTAACGCCGGGCCTGCGCCTCCTGAATGCAAAGAAGCAGCCTTTGAACCGGCATGGCTCTCATGAACTCTGGCTTTGTCTCTCCTTCTCTCCGCTCCTTCTGCTCCTTCTCGATACCTCAAACCAATGTCTACCATAAAACTGTGACAGCTCTCACACCCACACATTTACCGTGTCCTTGCCTCTCCCTGTTAATGTTTAGAAAGTTAGAAGAAGCAAGAAGCTGAGGTGAGAGTCGATGCGTCCCACTGGATAGCGTAACAAACTTTTGCTAAGAAAAATTTTGGAGTGATGTGAAATGCCTCGCGGTCAATAGGGAAGAGACGGAGATAAAAGGGAATTTTACACTTTTTTGTGTTTTTAGCAAAAGTTTTGACAGTGATTTCAGAATGGAGAAGTTTTTACTAAACATGAAAAAGGGTTCAGTAAAATCTCAGCTATCCGAAACATGGAGAGACTTGGAGAGACATCTGCAAGTTCTTCATCTGAGTGTTTCATCGTTGCATCAAAACATCAAAAAGGCACCTTAGTGCTGCTTGTGTCCGTGGCAGATATTTGCATAAAGCAAACGGCACTCGGTTTTTTTCAGCATCCCTTACACCATGCATGTCCCACACTCACGTTCTCCCACTAAGGAGATTTCAAGGAGCTTGCAGCTCACTGCAATTTGCTCTCATTTGCATGCAGTCCTCTGGACGGCCTGATGAACGCGTAGTGTACGTCTGCCTAATGGACAGCCTGATTGGGAGTGCATTAACATCAGTGCCAGGGGGAAGGAGGATGACCTAATATAAGGAGAGAGCGGGAGGATTGGGGTGACGGGTGTGGAGATAAGCACTGTGAGTGCAAGAATGACTTAAACTGCGCAATTGCGTGCTGGAAAGAAAATTGACTGCCTAAAGCCCAGACAAAAAACACAAGTGCCTCTGTGGAGCCCTGCTGTTCTGCCTATATGAAGGCAGACTGCCTGGTACATGGTACATGGTACGCCCCAGTAATGAATGGCTTATAATCTGGTGAATGGACAGCACTGTGCACACGCATAGGATGAAAAAACAGCCCTGGGCAGCTTCACATCATTGTTGTTTTAAGTGTGTCTGTTGTCTGCATGTATCACTGCGTCCATGTCTGCATTCGGTGGTATAGAGGAGTGCATTGCCCCCCTCACCAATATATGTGATTATTCATGTCCTCTCAAGTAGATAACATGTGATCATTACTTTCTGATCCTATCAGGTTTGTTTATTCGTCAGAAGACTTTGCCTTGTGCTCCGTTAGCATGCTAGCAGACCATGACGTCCTAATGAGGTGTTGTTTATCTGCTCTGTGACTGACTGACCTCCTCCATCAAAGCCACATCTCCATCTTTTGAAGTGTTTGTGCGTGAAGTGTTGTATGTGCACACATAAAAGAACTCTCATCCTGGTTCATTTTTTTATAGAGTGGATTACTCAGTTACGTTGTGAGTGCATATTTCAATGCGTTAGTTACATTTTTGTTGGTTCTGCGCCCGATATTTTTTATAGTTAAATAATTTTTTACAAGTCTGTGTTTCCATGTTTTTAACAAGCGTAAGGGGAAAGGCATCGTCCTGTAGACGTACACCCACAGTGAGGGCTGCAAAATATGGAGAGAGGTGGGGGGTGGATTGGGAGAGGGCAGAAGGAGAGAGGGAGCGTGTGCACTGAAGTGAACTGGGGCACCGAGGGAGAGTGAGAGACTGGGAGACGAGGATAAAAAGGAGAGCAAACGGAGGAATAAGAGGAGAAGGGAGCCTTTCACAGCGGCAGTCACGGCATCAGGCTACTGTCTGCCTCGGAGTATAGAGCATCTCAGGCCTTTTTCTTACATTTTGTGTGCGTCTATGAGAGTGTGCGTGTGTGTGTGTTTGTGTGTGAGTTTGAGGTTTAGTTCATTTTGCATTCATGTTTGTGTGTGTGTGTGCGTGTACAGATGAAAAGATTTGTTAATGGGCTCTGGCATCACCCTAACCCTTTGTCCCCGGTGCCTCCTCACCGACACACACACACACACACACACACACACACACACACACACACACACACAAATAGTTACCCTCAGCCCCCCACCCCCTCCCCACACCACTCTGATAAGTGGCACGCCTCATGCCGGAGCCATCAGCCAACACTGCAACTCAGCGTGACAGCCGTGCACCCCTCCCCCTCTCCTCACCCACCACCCTCCATCCCCTCCGGGACCTCGTCTGTCTGCTCCTCCCTCCAGATGCAGCCCCACTCAAGGCAACACAAGAGAGAGTGGTGAGGAATGTAAAAAAGAAAGCCGTGTAAGCTGGAGTGGAGGGATGCTTTCCGTCCTCCAATCTTTATTATTCGTAGGCAGTGTGAGAGCACGCTGGGAGCACTGGAGTATGCCGGGTTGGCGCGCGCGTGGGTGTGTGTTTGCATGCATGTTTTCTGTATTCTAATGGGTTTAGAATATGTCTACCAAGCCACGAAAGCATTATTGCGTAGCATGAGAGTAGGTAGTTAGCCTGTTTCCCGCGCCGCTCCGTGTCTTCCTGCTACATGACTCTTTCTGCTCGCGTGGGTGTGAGCAGCTGATGGCGGGTGAGCCGGCTTGATCATCAGTAGGCCGAAATGACACATGCATTAGCCTGGTCTATTTTTATACACACACACACAGTCAGAGTAACCAAAGGCGTGCCTGATGGATCAACACACTCCCCCTCTACCTTCCACACACACACACACACACACACACACACACACACACACACAATGTTCTTGCATATGCTCATAGTATTATGCCACAGTTGATTTTAAGATGGCAATTAGCTGCCTCCACATGTGGGCCCTGACATCTGCTTAATGCAATCTGAGGGAAAATGATAATTGTTCCTCTTTTGCTCTGCCCCACTCATCATAGTGGGGTCGTTAAGGCAGACACAGGGCGCAGCATCAAGCCGAAGCGTGTGAGTGAGCATGACTGGAATGTACGAAGCGATATGAGAGAGATACTGTAATTACATGGGAAAAAAGTGACTTCCTGTCAGCCCTAGGGGCACATCAAGGCTCCTGACGCTGACCCCTGACCTCCTTTTGAGCCACATATTTCCCCCGCCATAGATGAATATTTCAGAGAGAACTCAGCCGTGAACTTTGGAAGCGTCACCAAGTGCAAAGTCATAACTCAATATCACCTTCAAATACCTTCACAGCTAAAAGAAATATCATGTCGCCGAGGGCACTGCACCCGGAGGGGGTCAGCTATTTCCACTCCCAGCTTTCGAGAACTCTCCCACTGCGTTTTCATAGCTGCAAGACGCCAGGTTTTCTTAAGAGGTCATTTTTTCCCTCATGAAAAAAGGCATCCTTTCGGTGTGCTATCCCATTTTTCCCCCGGCAATCATGTACCAAAGGGGCTCAGCAGGGTCCAAACAACGACTAAGCCCCCCACTCAGAAGATTAGTGCCCCTGTCACAGAGCACAGTGACAGGAGAGGAAAACATTAAAACAACAAAAGCTCTTCTCGGCGCCAGGTTATGGCAAGGACAGCTTTGTGTGTGGTGTCGGTAAAAATTGGATGTCACCGGGCGAAGCATTTAGACATTGGGGAGACGCTGAGTGACGGGATTGGGAGAGGGAGGAGAGGATGCTCTGCGACATCAGCCTCCATGCAAGGACAAGAGAAGGCCCTTTTAGGCATCGTTGGTGTGGAGGATATTTGAGGGAGGTGTGGGGGGGTGCGTATTGTCTCTCCGGC